TATAACCAGAGTTAATAAAAATAAAAATTTGGTTCCTTGGTCACACTAGCCACATTTCCATCATCACAGGAAGGTCTTTTGGACACACAAACCTTCTTTAAAGGGACACTCCAAAAGAAAATGGACTAAGGATTTGAACAAGAAGGAAAATCAGTGAACAAATGAATCAGAAGAAATCAAATGGGCAGACTAAGATACAGAAGCTGAGATACCACGAGGAGTCTTTTCCTAATGAGGTTAACAGTGACTAATTCCTCCAGGTGCAGACTCGGCCAGCCATTGAGGCCTGCCCCTTCTCACCTTACCTAAGTTTCAAATCCTAAACCTTGCGTTTCCCCGCTGGTTTGCATGAGTTCTTCTAAATATTCCATATACTTCTTGTTTATTCTTAATCTGCCTTACCTTTAGTGTAAACTCCTTGGGAATCGCCCCTGCTCACCCTTTAGCATCCCTGACCTGGGAGGGCTCAGGTGGAGCTGGCCCATGGGATGGTTGCTGCCTCTGCATGACAGTTGGCAGATGTAGAGAAACGAGATCTCTCACTGGCTGCCACCAGCAAGTGCATTGGAAGAACCTGTCTGGCAGATGTCCTTGGTGTGAGTCTCCAGACTGTACCTGTCCTTTGACCCAGTGTTTCTCCTTCTAGGGCATTTATCATAAGGAAGTCATACGAATGTGCCCAGAGATACAGCAGCAAGAGTCAGCCAGAATGGAATGCTTACCTGCAGTCAGGAACACTCTTGAACTTGACCTACCAGAAGGAATATAGATGATTTTGTTTGGTTTTTGAATGTGTCTATTTGAACTATTTCACAAAGTTCAGAAAAGATATCCCTCTTCCCATGCCTTAGGATTTTAAATTATTATTGTATTATGTACTTAACTGACCTACATCTTTCTTAAGCAAAACTACAACTTAACTAGAAATTTCTTTCCACAGATCCCTTAATATGGACTTTGAAAATCAAGATAAGGAGAAAGACAACAACAATTCTTCTGGGTCTTTTAACGGCAACAGCACCAACAATAGTAAGACATTTTATTGCCAGTTAATTGTCACATGTATAGTTGTCTTCATTTGATTCTTTCTGTACCCTCAGGTAATAAAATAACTTGGTGCTTGCATTCTTAAAGATTGCAAGCCATATGCTGACAGATAATCTAGTCTGCGTAAGTGTTTTGGTGGGGTTTTGTAGGTGCTAATCGTCAATTCATTCAGTGACTTAAAAGTTACTTCTAAAACTAAGTATTACTGATGATCTCTTCTGATATTTAAGACCTTGTGAGAATACTTTGTTTTATGTCATAAATGTCCATAAAGTAGCAAATGGATAAAAGGAAATATAATCTATCTACATAATGGAGTACTGTCCAGCAGGAAGGAGAATGGAATGTCC